ACCGGCAGGCATGCGATTTTCAGTCTGCAGCCTTACCGCTTAGTTGTCACTTAGGAGAGTGTTTGTCCTTTGTGGAGAGTTCAGACAGCAGTAGCAGTGCCAAGCCTGGGAATGGCATGGGGCAGAGTCCAGCTGCTTTCTGGATGGCGCATGAGATCTGCATTCTACCCAACCCACACAACAGCAGATCCCAGCACCCATCCCACCCCTACCGCCTGAAATGGTGCTTGCTGATGGGGGGCTGGAGCTAGGATGAGGAGCAGCTGGTAGGTGTCTCTAAAACTGCGACACCATGCCTAGGCTGGCCCACAATGAAACTCCAGCTCCCCTTCTGCCACTGGTTGGCTGGACCTTGGGCCGGCCTTTCCCAGCCTCTCCATCTTCTCGTTGTGTTATGTGGGGGTAGAAGTGTGAGCAATGATGTCTTAGCAGGTGCCACCCCTGGAGTGTCCTGGGGGTCAGAGGTTCCCTGTCACCTTCTGGAAGCAGAGGAGAGGGCTCCCTCTAAAGTGGAACCAAGAGCAGCTAACGCCCATCGCCACATTGGTCTTTCTCCAGAAGGAGGAAGGACAGCCATGATGGCCAGAGCAAAGCACCCACCCACCCACTCCCCACGTTCTGACGACACATGCATCACCGCTTGCCAAACCCTAGAAACCATCCCTGCTCCTGTGTGTATGGCCGTGCCGCCACCGACTCGGCCTGTTTGATTTGGAACTGTGGCCCCACCACGTGCGGATCCGTGGGAGGTTTTCCACTCTCTTCCAAACTTTTTTCTTTCTTCTTTGTTTCTTTTTTAAATTCTTCCCCCACCTCTCTCTCTCTCTCTCTCTCTCTCTCTCTCTCTCTCTCTCTCTCTCTCTCTCTCTCTGTGTGTGTGAGATGGCGGTTGGGTGTAAAGGCCGAAGGTCACCCTCAGGCATGTCCCTCAGGAGCTCTCCACTTTTGTTTCTGAGCCAGGCCGCTGGGTTGTCAGGCCCAGCGGTTGTGTGGTGAGATCCCGCCTGTGGATGCTGGGCTGTACTCTGGTCCTTATGCTTGCCAGGGCAGCACTTCTCTGACGAGTCGTCTTCCAGGTCTACTTCCCCTCTGTCTGTCAACAAATAGGCTCTGCATAGGCCAGCCTGGCCTCCATCTTGCAATCCTCCTGCCTCTTCGTCCCCAGAACTGGGGTGTCTTGGTTACTGGGCCGATGGGTGATGGCTATGGAGTCTTTTTCCTGTTTAGTCTGCCAAGAGCTTGCAAGAGGCAGGGACACAGGAGCTACTGCCGTTGCTGCCCCTGCAAATTTGCCAGGAAGAAAGGCATGGCAGGTGTGCACAAGTAAGTTCCCGTGTGTGTGTGTGTGTGTGTGTGTGTGTGTGTGTGTGTGTGTGTCTGTGTCTGTGTGTATGTGTACATGAGAGAGAAGGGGAGGGTTCCATGCAGGTGGAAGGGTGAGGAGACCTTGGGTCTGACATCTAGGCTAGGTCACCTGGCCTTGACCAGGTTGGGTGGGGCAGAGGGAACCGCCTGTCCCCCCTAGCTGTGCAGGGCCCCCCTAGGCTGGCTCAGCTCCGGCTCCCCAGACAGATGGAAGGAGACTCTGCAGTTGAAGATGAGGCCCCACCTTTGTCCCATGCCTCGGGGATTCCTTTCTCTTTTATTGCCTTGGAGACTTACGCTGTTGGGATCAAAATCACCCCTGCAGGGTGTGACCTGAGGAAAACTCCATGCCCAGCCCTGGGAGGCCGGCCGGCCGAAGAGAGCAGCCTCCAGACACAATGACACCCCTCCATTCCGGGCCCAGGTGGCCCAGGTGTGGGGCGGCCTGGGGGGATCACATTACACTCTGGAGCCTGGGCTGGGTGCCCTGGCGGGGTGGGGGCGGGGCTGGTGTGGGTCAGGGCCTGGCTGCTCAGGAAGTCCCTGGGCCCAGGCTGGCCTGGGATGGGGGCTGGGAGACAATGAGAAGCTGGCGGGGGACCCGGATTCTGGAGCCTTTGCGCTGGCTGGGCCTCCTTTCCTCTCACACCACTGCTGAGGCTGTCGTTTTCATCCTCTCCGTGCAGACCACCACGGAAAGTTCTGGTTATTTCAAAGTGCCAGAAGCTTCCTCTAGCAGACGGGAACAAACATTTACCAGGGATGTCCCCTTGTACCTCAGGTACCAGGCAGATCCCTTTGCACGTGAGGGCATCGTGAGTCCTCAAGCACCCTTGGGAACCACAAGCTCCTAGTCCCCCATTTTATGGACTGGGAAACTGAGTCAGGAGTTGGCCAGTTTCACTGTCACTGAGCCCAGACTGTCACTTCCTCCCCACGAGGCTGACCCCAAGCATCCCCAAAGCCTTGCCTGAGATGGTCTGAGTGCTCCAGGAACATTTTTATCCTGCTTGTTTGTGCCATCATTCAGGAAGCTAGCTGGGGTCTGCTGAGGTCTTGGGGACTCCTCTGGGAGGATGAGGAAGCATAGAAGAGAGCGCCCCCGCCCTGCAGAGCTTGACCGACAGATAAAGCAGACTAGGGGGTGATGAGAGATCAGAGGGAACCTCATCTCCAGAGCTGAGGAAGGAGAAGACATGGCCTCTGGGAGGCGGGGACCTGGGAAAGGGTCAGCCTTTCAGGGTCCACCTCTGAGACATTGGCCTTCTGGGCCACGTTGAGTCGACTACCATCCACCAACGGGTCCTTGGTGAGCAGACTCCATCCGCTTTGTGTGTGGGGGAGGAGGCCCTCAGGGAGAGCCCAAGGAGAGACACACTGGGATCCTTCCTTTGGTCCTTTTCTGGTAGAGGAGCCAAGAGGAATCCCTAGCAAGAGTGTTTTCCATATGCAAATCGGCGGCGGCACCCAGACCTGCTCCTCCCTCACGATGACCTCACCTGCTTGCTAGGGAGAGGCTCCCAAAGATGGAGGCAAGGATTTGAACAAGGGGCTCCCTTGGGCAATACACTCTAACTTGGTGTCATTCCAGACTTTGGAAGGGGGCTACTCCCTGCATGGAAGCTGGCAATGGGGCTTTGGCCAAGGCCTCGGGAGGGGCTGGGGCTAGCCTAGCTCTCGCTATGGCTCTGTGGGCACTTGCGGGCTGGGTCCCTCCTCTTGATGCCTTTCTGGGAAAGCCTCTCCTTCGGAAGCCCTCTGTCCCGCCTGTCACTTGGGCGGCCCACTCTTTTTGTGGGGACCGGAGTAAGCTGGGGTCTTGCTCTGTGGATAGTGGGTGAAGCGGCCTTCCTGTCACCTCCCCTGAAGCTCATGGGCCAGGTGTCCTCCTCTACCCAAAGGCCAGCCAGGCGTCCTGTCTCTGCTCTCTTGAGAGCCTCCCGTGCCTGGCTTCTGTGCCAGGGCCCAAGGGAGACAGAGACAACCGCTCCCCCCACCTCCCGTTCCTAGACCTTACTGAGGGTCCCTGTTGTTTGCAGGGGCCTAAGAACCAGCTTGCCGTAGAGGTTGCCATGCCGACTCCCTCTCTGTTTGTTATGTTCTTCCGTCTACGGGCATCTGAAGTGCAAGTAGGCCGCGTTTTTGTTTGTTGGTTACCAAGAACTATGACATGACAAGTAGAGGTCGGACACCAGCTCACAACCGGCATGCAGGTCTCAGTCCACAAGGAGAAGCAGGTCCAGCGACGGGCCTCTCAGGGGTCTGCACCCACAGGGACTTCCGTCTGGTGGCACCCACAGCCTGGGCTGAGACCTGCAGGCCTCTCTTGTTGTCTGGAATCCCCACGGGGAGGTTCCTCAGTTCTAGAAGGCTCTCTCACCAGACTGTCCCTTCTCACCCTAGAACTCTAAGAGGGGCCCCTACCCAATGCCTTCCCTACACTCTGCCCCCCACCCTTCACCTCAGACTCCCCTGGTTCTCTCGAAGCTCACCTTTGGGAGAACAGGGCAGCCTGGCCGCCGTCCCACAGACCCACTGTCGCTCTGGGCGAAAGCGGCTGAAGAAACGGAGGCCGCAAGGAACAGCATGCCTCTGAAGGCTCAGAAGCAGTGTCTGGGGTCTTCCTTCCCTGGGCCATGCACTTGGGTACAATGGCCAGTCACCTGCTCCTCAGCCCTGCCTGGGGCTGGGGGTGATGTCCAATGGTGAGCGGCTAAGGGACTTGGGTCAGGATAAGGTGCCCTTGGAAACATCCCCTCACAAGACAAGAGGGTGGGGGCACTCTCTGGTCCCTTTAGTCCCAAATTTCACTGATGCACTCAACAGGGTTACAACATCAGGGGTTCCCACGGCTCTGGGTTCAAAATACCAGGGTAAAAAGCCTAGACACCAAATCTGAACGCTCAGGGTGCTGGACTTGGAGGGCGGGGAGTGATGGAGGTGAGGGTGTGCAAGGCCATAGACTGTGTAAATCAAGACTCGTGTGTGTGTGTGTGTATTTCGGGGAGTGAAGTGCAGAAAATAAAAGTAATGTCGTTAGGAGGAAATAACTTTATCTCCACATTATCTCTGCCCGTCCTGGAAGGTTCCCAGAGGAAGTGGCACCTGAGGGGGGAGGGGCAGGGAAAGAACGTCCCCAGAGGAAGGAATGGCCAGGGCAGCAGAGCTGGCAGCCGAGTGGGTGTGAGGGGGGGGCTCTGCGTTACTAGAGCAAATGGAGTCTGCTGGAGGGACGAGAGAAGATCCAGGTCCGAGGGTGGCCACCTCCGAGGAGCCTTCTCGGATTCCCGCGCTCCCTCCCCGGTACTTTCCACCACAGCCCGAAGGTTCACAGGTCTCACTTTGGCCACTTCCAAGTGCGAGCCCCGAGAGGGCAGGGCCGCCTCGGATTCCTCTTCTCCGCACCCCTGCGGCATCCGTCCAGGTACAGGACACATGGTGGGCACTCGGTAAATATTTGTAGAGTGCCCAGGGAGGAATGAATGAAGCCATTGGGCCAGGCTTGGGGAGGGCGGGGCCGGGCGCAGGTGGGAGGCCGCGGGAGCGGGAGGGGCGGGGAGGTCGGTCCTCCCGCTCCTCCTCCCCCTCCTCCCGGGCCCCAACGCGCACCACTCCGGGGCTCCCGAGGAGGCTGAAGGGCGATCCGAGGCGCGCCGGACTGGAGCAGCGACCCGGGGCCCCTGTTCTGGGAGCGGGAAGTCGGAAGAGGGTTTGTCGCCGGTGCCCGCAGGCTTGGGCGCTACCCGAGCGAGAGGAGGGAGCGAGGGCTCGCCAGGCGCCCAGCCGCCTCCCCGGCACAAGCTCTCCGGACTCGAAGGTCTGCAGGCTGCTGCTCCTCCCACCCCGGCCCGCCTCCTCGCTCTTTCGCTAGCTCTCCGGAGCTGCTGTGCTAACACCGCGGTGCGTCCCGGCGAGTGCGGGCCGAGGGGCCCTGCGCCAGGGCTGAGCAGAGGACAGGGGCGTCCCGGGCAGAGCGCAGCCGGCCGGGGAGTGGCCATGTGTGGCAAGGCCGCGGCGAAGTTCGTCTGCACCAAGTGACCTAGCGTCGTGGACCGCTGCCCTGCCCCCTCTGCTGCCACCTGGGGCAGCGCGGGCCCCGGTGCCCCGGATCGCGCGTAGAGCCGGCGCGATGCACGTGCGCTCGCTGCGCGCCGCGGCGCCACACAGCTTCGTGGCTCTCTGGGCGCCTCTGTTCTTACTGCGCTCCGCCCTAGCCGACTTCAGCCTGGACAACGAGGTGCACTCGAGCTTCATCCACCGGCGCCTCCGCAGCCAGGAGCGGCGGGAAATGCAGCGGGAGATCCTGTCCATCTTGGGCTTGCCCCATCGCCCGCGCCCGCACCTCCAGGGAAAGCATAACTCGGCGCCCATGTTCATGTTGGACCTGTACAACGCCATGGCGGTGGAGGAGAGTGGGCCCGACGGCCAGGGCTTCTCCTACCCCTACAAGGCCGTCTTCAGTACCCAGGGTCCCCCTTTAGCCAGCCTGCAGGACAGCCACTTCCTCACCGACGCCGACATGGTCATGAGCTTCGTCAACCTCGGTGAGTGGCGGTGGGAGGGTTGTGTCTCAGACGGGGACCACTTTGGGACAGGGAGAGGGTCGCTGCTTTCAGCCAGCGGGTCCACCTTCCCATTTGCAAAGCATCCGTGCCAGCCAGAGACTCCCGCACCGGGGTCTTAGTGGACCCTAAGCTCTGTGCGTCCCTGGTGGGGCTTGCCGGCTCAGCAGGTTCGTGGGAGCTACCGGGAGGGAAGGATCGGTTCTGAGTCTCTTTGCCGGCTCCGCCGCTGGTTGGGGAGGGCGGTGCGGGTCGGGCCGCGGCTGAGTTCAAAGCGCCCGGCTGGGTCATGTGAGCTGAACCGGCCACAGCGGCCCGCGCTACCTGGATTTAAAGGGCCCTTGTGGGTCAAGCTGCCTTCCCGCCCTTCCTTCGCTCCTCTGAGCCCAGCCTGGCTCTGGCATCGCGAGCATCCCTTTCCCTTCCCCGCCTTAGCCAGCCCTACCTGTCTGTCCCCTTGCGGTGCGCCTGTCTCGGCGCGCGCCCGGAGCGCCTTGGGGGCTCCTCTCTCAGTCGCCGGGCCCCTACCTTTAGGCTCTTGTCTGGAGCCGGGGAAAGAACGTTGCCATTGCAAGCTTTCTATTTTAAATATTTAATGATAGGTCCCGGGCGGGCAGAATCCATTTTCAGCGTTTATCACGTGTGGCGCGCAAACCACGGGGTTTGGCGATTGGGTAGCTGGGGACCTCGGAGCTGAGGCCGCCACCGAGTGGCTAGGGAACCCATTTCCCTACTGGAGTTCCAGCCAACCAAGTGCTGCGAGGCTGGGTTGCGACTGGTCCGGGACATCTCCCCCTGCATCTGTGCGCTCACATGGGTCTAACTTGCTCAAACTAACCCCCGGCGGTGCGCTGTGGGGTTTATCATCAAATATTTGGTTTTGGTGATAACACACTCTGATAGTGCTGCTTCCTGAACCGCTTTCATTCTGCTTGTGGAAGTTGCTGAGAAAACCCGAAGACACCAAACACCTCGGCCGCTGTGTCAACTTGGAAATAATGAAGCTTGAAGGCTACCCCTCCCCCGCTGGGCACCTGGGGCGCGGAAGGGGTCTCACGATAATCCTTCCAGCTCCAGATAAAGGCCCTGGAATCCCCGGGAGGCCATTGACTGCCTCCATTATTGGTCAAAGAAAAAAAAATCAAATAATTAAACAGGGGTCATGGTGGGTGATAGAGATGCCAAAACAATATAAAACAAGTTTAAATTCCCCTTAGACACTTGTTAAGAAGAGGACTTGCTTTGGAACTGTCTCCAAGTCGCGAAGATAGGAAAAAGCCGGTGGTGACCGGAGGACCGCAGGGATTTTCCTGGAGGCAGGGCTTAGGGTGCTAGGAAATGGAGACTGTGTTTCACTGCGTCCGTTTTTTAAAATATGTAGATTTATTACCAAAAACTAAAGACTCCTAGCAACATGCTTAGCACTATGTGGTAAGCTCAGATGTGTGAAGCGAGCCCAAAGCCAGGGTTAATAGGGCCCTTTCCCCGGCACGAGGGTAGGGGCTTATGGCATTCCGTGTTCTCTCCTCCTGTGATGCCCAGAAAGGTCCCTCACTGATGGTTCGGAGCCTTGCTGGGCTCATCAAGCAGCGACATATAATCCCTGAGTCTGGTGGCAGTGGCTGGCTGCTTCAGGTCCCAGCTGGCCTCCTGCATCCCAGAAGGCCAGGTGGCTCCCAGGGCGGCTCCCAGGGCCCCGCTGGGAACTTGGCGGGGGCGGGGGCTCCCCCTGGCCTTGGATACAAGCTGAGGCATGCTGGGGAGGCCACAGCTGGGTGGCTTCCTCTGTGTGCACACACACCTTCCAGTCCATTCTTTCATGTTGAAAGGACAAAGACTGACTTGTCTGAGCCTCTTAGTCAGTGGGGCTGGCTTTGGGCTTTTGTGGGACCATCCTGACTTTCTGAGGCCTGGCTTTCTGGACCATCACTTCCAATTAGATAGCAGAGTGGCTTTTAACAGAACGCACGGACCTGGGTCTCCTTTTTCTTTGTCTTTCTGTCCCTAAACTACAGGTAATTAGGGGAGGCCCCAGACTGCAGCTGCTAAGAGCTTCCTGTAGGTGTGTCTTTAACCTCTTTTGGGCCACAGGACAGGTAACGAACCTCCTGCCTCTGCTGGTGTGATTTCTCCCTGGGAGCGGCTTGGGGGTGGCAGTCGGGTTGGGGAGGGGTGGTGTGACTGGGAGCTTGTCCCCACTCTGAGTTTGCTGAGAAAGCTTGGTTGGACTGCCAGTCATGTGGATCAGAAATAGACAAAGCCTTCGAGAGCCAAGTTGACTCTTACCCTCTCCCCCTGAGGGAGAAAATGTCACTGGTTCCCATCACTGTTGCAGCTCTTGGTGTTGGTGCAGGCTGGCTTCCCTGGCTGCCCACAGACACCTCCGCTGCCCCCCAGGGCTGTCTGCTTGGGGACCCCCGCCTCAATCCTGAAGGCTTTTGCAGATAGATCTTTTACCCTTCTGTCTGCAGCCAAACTGGATTTTATTCTTGTACGTTGTTCTCCCTGGACTCTGAGCAGTCTGCCAGGCTGAGCGGAATCTACACTAAGGGAGATTACCACAAAACCAGGCGCTGCTGCATGGGAGGACTTGACCCTCCCATAAAGCCCCTGGAAAAGCCAGTCAGCTGCTTGCGTGGGACACCCATCTTCCCAGCTCTGGCCCCCAAGTTCAATGGCAAGATCTGTAAACTGGTTTGGATTAACAAGCCCCTGACTCCTGTGGATAGACTTCATTTTGGAATTCGAAACAGGCCACACTCTCCTAAACAGTCCCCAGGCAAAGTTGATCCTGCGGAGACCTCGTCCAGCCATTAACCCCCACCATCCTTCCTTTGGAAACCCTGGCGGCTCTCTCCATAATCTACTAGACAGCCAACTGGTTTGGAGAGGGTGTATGTGGCTCCTGTTTATCTCCGGGCCAGGTTAGGGAGGAATGAAATTTGTTTAATCTGCGAAGCTAAGTTAGAAAGAGGAGAAGGTTAGAACCTTGTCATTACCACAGCCAGCAAGCACATAAGAGGGGCTGGGAAGCAGAAGGGGGACCCAGCAGCTCGGTTTTCCCTTTACCCCATCTGGCTGTCCTTTCCGTAGACAAGTGTTTGGCGTTAAGATCTCCCCCTTTACCCCTCGGAACAGGCCCTACCACTGGGGAGTAGTAGGGAAAGGTTCTGTTACAATTTAAACACGTCCTTCGGGGAGTGCTCTGCGGAGCATGGCTGCAGGCGCCTGCAGCTGTAAGCTGGCCCGTCTTAGAATTTGGAAGGGGCTCCTTCACATTCCAGCCCTTTCTGGTTAGCAGAGGAAGGTTAATAGAGATGTCACATGGTCTCTCTCTCTCTCTCTCTCTCTCTCTCTCTCTCTCTCTCTCTCTGCAGATCAACTTCACCATAGGGGTGCACCAACAGCTGTGTTTTCAGTAACCCTTTCAAAGTCACTTTTAAACCTCATTTTCCTGGGCCTATAAATCAAAGATTCCCACCCCCTTTTCCCAAGGATATTATGTGACCCAGATTTGAACTGTTTTGGATCTTTTATGTATTTCCCTTCTGCAATCAAGGCAAAGGCTGGGCCCTGGATGGCAGCTCAGATAGCTGGCTTGGGTGTTTATCCCAGGCCTGTCATTTGGGTCTGAGGTTCCCCTGGAAGGTGGGAGGTGGGGCCTAGAAGAGCCGGTGATTGCTTACCCCTATGGAGAAAAGGAAGCAGCCCTGAGACCCAGCTCCAGGGAACTGGGCTGGGGGCCTCAGCCTCAGCAATGATGGTGACAGTCACCAAGCCTTTGCCCAGATAAACACAGATCGTGGGAGATCCTCTGACCGCTGGCATGCCTGTGATGTGAGCGCATGTCACATGCCTGCCGAACCGGGAGACAAGGGATGATTTCATCCCCGGGCAGAGTCCCGTGGACATTGATTGATCGCCCCGATCGCTTTCATATCTCGCCCACCCCGCTTGCTAAGGTCATATTTGGCCCTCGTCGAGCCTCACAGTGTCCTCCGGCTGCCTCCTCCACCCTTCCCGCCCTGCCCCTTCGCGTAACTGTGGAATGGAGAGCTCTTCCCACCCAGCAGCCGTGGCCGGGGCCCGTCGACGCTCAGGGGATGTGGCTGGCCGCTGCACAGCTTGCCTTCTGGGGCTCTGCTGTGTCTCTGGGGTCAGGGCACAGGCAGGGATGTATAGGATCTGTCTTGCTATTGTCAGAAGGAATGCACTCAGGGATTAGCCGGAGAGCACGGCGGTGGGAGGGAGCCACAGCTGTGTACACTTATTATAAAAGATTTAAGTCCCACTGGTAAAATCAATATATTGAATTGCACAGCCCTCTGCTTTTAATTAGTTTAAATCAAACGCGCCCGGGCTGTTTTGCCTTCCCTTGCCTCCGTGGGGTGAGGAAACACCAATATTTACACAGAAACTGATAACATGTTCAGCTTCACGCACTCCGATGGCCTCAGCCTGACGGATCCCAGATCGACGTGGGGTTGAGAGGGATGATGTCAGTGGGCTGAGGGACATCACTGACGCCCAAGGCTTGGATCCTGGTATTGGGACACGGTAGGTGTGTGCTCAGAGGCAGTGTTGGTGAGCCTTTCAAGAAAGTAGCTCACTTTTTGTACTCAGAAAGCTGAGATTCACCAGTTCACCCTCTAGAACAGCCTTGCAAAACCATTCTGGGGGCTCCACCAGCGTGTGGGGTTCTTTGTGCTGGGGCAGCTCTGAGCACAGGCTTTATTTATTCCAGAGCTCGCCTTCCTAGCCCCTGCAACTGTTTATGGAGGCAGGAGGGCTTGCATTGCAAATGATCACATGCACCACCATGGCTATTATGTGAGCCATTCCATATTAGCCGTGTGCTCAGCTGGGATTGAATTCCCCAGGTTTTGCAGCAAATGGCATTTGACAAATACTATTTGACAAAAAATGTGACTTGGTATTTCTTAATGTGGAACAGATATTTCACGGTTAACCTCCCCCAGGCA